ACAGATTTTGATTGTACCTATCTTTTCTTATGTATTTTTATATTCGTCATTCGGTAGTAGACTTTTGTAGAGGAATAGGCTATTAAAAAATTAATTTTTACCTAAGCTATGATCCTAACTGCCCATCAAATCATAATTTTGGTAAGCTACTTCTAGTTGAGCATGTTTGGTATTAGAATTTAAGCATTTGGCTGTAGATGTTTTCAATAACTTCCTCTTAACAATTGAAGTTACGTTTCACTGATATCCAGGGCAACAAATCATGGTTTGATTATTTCTTTTTGGTAATTGGTGTCCCGTCCACCATAATAGGTTAGGATCCCATTTGTTGCACGATTATACTATTTAAGGTAAGTGTTGCAGTGGGGTACTACCGAATACCAGCGAGAAATGGTTGAATTATGATTTGTTGTTGGGTGTCGGCTGTACAACGTGATTTCAAGTGAATTTAGCCTAATGGGGCTTTGATAGAATAGCTGAATGCTCTTCAACTTTGCCAGGCAAAATTGTTTTTGTGTTTTCTAGATGAAGAGTCAAGTGATCTTGTTCTATATTGTACCTTTCAAAGGAGGTATCACATGAGGTAGTTTCTTATTTTAGGAAAATCATTTAGGGGGGCAAGACTCCAAGACAGAAGGGGTACAGGTTAGGCAATAAACACATTTGGCTTCTCCGATGTGTATTTGACACTTTTATGATAGATTTTTTTTTGTAATGGTGGTTTTACACCAAACCGACTAGTGTTTTTACCGATAAAACTGTTCATACTTAATAAATACCTAATATAAAATCATGAACACCCATCTACTTTCTGAATTGAACTAAACAAAACTGCAACCGTTTCTCTGATATAAAACAACAGAAAATAAAAACTCGACAGCAACTAATTTTTGTCTGTTTAGTGTGAACCGTTTTATCGTTAAAAACAGTTCAGTTTTTGTTTTTTAAAACAGCAACAAAACAGCAACTCAACTAGTCGGTTTGGTGTAAAACCGCCATAAGAGATAGGGAGTCAATTTTTTTTATTTTTTAACACCGATATGTCAAAGATATAAGATTTTGCTATAAGACTGTAAAAGGAAAGCCACGAGCTATCCAATGATGTGTAACACAAGGTAGGTTCGAATTTGAGAAAAATAAGTTAGGATAGGGTAGCCTCCCCCTAAAATTACGTTTGAAATTTAAATTGAATTCTCCTTAAACATTTTTTAGTTACTTTTCTTGCGGAAAATCCTTTTAACATTAGAGTTCAGGTTTTCTTATGTCTGTGCATTTTAAACTAATTGTTCCACAAAGTGTGTTTTACGTTGCAGAAATCCATAATAAAAATTGCGAAAGTTTTTCATATTGCCATAGTATTATACCTATATTATACTCGATCGAGATTATGATGTAGTATGTAGCAGTAGTCAAAGCAACCAGTCGCTTTTATGATAAATTGGTAAACACAGGATAAATAAATAAATCAGGTAATTTCAGCTCTGTCGCTCCTCGTGTGTTTCATGTAGAGTTAAATCTTATTTTTAAAGATTTAAATCATTTTAGAAATATTTAGGTAATTTGTTTTAAAAAGATTTAGATCTTCAAAAAGATTTAATTCGTTTTAAGAAGATTTAAATCATTTTGAAAAGATTTAAATCTAATTTTAGATCAAAAATCAAAGATACTTCTAAGAAAGATTTAAAATTTAAATTAAAAATCATTTTCTGAAAAAAGATTTGAAATTTGAATCAAGAAATGTATTTAAATCAAACATATGATTTAAATCTCTCTCTGTTTGTCCAGTAACTTGATTTTTTGGATACATTTTTCAATACACCCAAAAAAAATAACCATTGTTAGGTCAGCAATCATTTAGTTACACATTTCTGGTTGTGATAGCGAAACTTTCTCTGAGTGTAGAAAGTTTGTTATGATTATACTTGGTTTTTTAATCCCAGGGTACACATGAATAGCCTTGTTCTGGTTCAAAATTTGGAACGGCTCTAATTCTGAACCAATTCGGAACCCATAAACCAAAACAAGTTGCAAATCACAAAATTTCAAAATAGTTCCTCCTTCAGAGCAAGTATTGGAGAGAACCGTTCAAGAACAATCCCAGAATTGTTCTTATATAGTTCTAAATCAACCAAAACGCTGTCAACACAGTTCGATTACGATTCTGAAAAAAACGGAAATATGCGCATGTGCATGCAAAATGATTCCGAACTAGTTCTGTGTAAAACCAAAACAAAGCTTATGTGTCAGAATGAATTTATTATAGTTACTAAGTTCCCCAGCAAACATTGATTATTGACGTTATAAAACCTAGGAGTAACAAGTAGGTAATATAACAAATTTATAACACTTGTTACCTACTTGCAGTTATTACTATTTCATAAAGGTACATAACAATTAGTTAGTTAGTAGGTTACATTCACATTATTTAACGACAATCAAACAAAGTTTGGGTGATCCAATTAGTGCTTTAGCATTTTAAAGTGAATTATAGGCAACACTGTACATGTCAAAAGAAAAATTATTTGGTAGTTTTTTAGATTAGTTTATTACAAAATCAAGTGAAACATTTAACGCCACAGCAACGTTGCGAAATTATTAACATTTATTATCAAAACCAAAGCTCTATATGAAGGCAATTTAGCGCGGATTAAGTGCACTTTATGGTCCCCATGATCCACCCAGTGAATAAACAAGTTGTAATGTTGTGAGGAAATTTGAAAATGAGTTTAGGTTGCTGGATAACCCAAGAACAAATCGTGTAAGAAATGTAGAAAATGTTGAAGCTGTAAATCCAAGTGCTCGAGATAATCCAAATTTGTCTCTAGACGTCGTTTTCAGCAACGATCATTTCTTCCCAATAATCATCGAAAACCAACTGGAGGGATTTTGGTTTCATCAGGATGGCGCTACGTGCCATACCGCCAACAAAACGATGACATTATCGCAAGAGCGGTTATTCCTAAAATACCGGTCCAAATGTGTGAAAACATAATGATAAATTGGACTGATCGAATTCACTAGAGAGTTGGTTGAAGTAATATATTTATGTTATATAACCACAATATAAATACATTTTATACAAGAGAATTTGTAACTAATAACGAATATTTTAAATCTTGTCGCTATATAACATAATAAAGTATAAGTACAATGAGCAGTAGGTGACTCGTTGCGTCCAATCCAAATTTAATCCGCTAGTTCAGGTGGCCATATTCGGCCCGTATTGTTCATGTTCTTCATCTTCTGTTCTTCAACAACTTGCACCCCAAAACTCTTGTATTTGAAGTATTTTTACAGAAAGTTTATGATAATAAGTGAAGGTATAACATTTTCTTGTGGCCGTTGGAAAGTATATTATATATGGTCACTATCTGCTTGAAAATGAATGTGGTAAAAGAAAAAGAAGCGCGGAAAAGTACTGCTTTTTGCACTCATTGCGAGCATATTAACTATACTTCACGCTGCTCGTGAAAAACATTAGTGTAACATTTTATTCTTTAAGTTATATTAATGTAATATTACTTGTTACATCAGAATAATTATATAACGCCTTATTAGCCTTTAGCAAAGAGGTTACAAAAAAATTACATCCGTGTTATATTACATGTTACAAGAATCTGTAATATTGAGGTTCTAAACTTATGTCATATTACTTTGTTATATAGCTATTCCATTGCGTCTTAGTAATGTTGAGTGGGAAATAGTAACTTAACTATTACAGATTTGTTATGTACTGGTAATATTACTTGTTAACTAGACAAAGTTAGGAAAATATATAACATTTATGTAATGGTAATATAACGATGTTTGCTGGGTCATTGGCGTGCCTAACAAAAAAAATTAGCGAAATATTGATAATACTGCAAGCAGATTATAATTATTCTGAAAATCTTCAACCTACGCCTATATATGGTTAGTATAATTTATAAAAAAAAATGCCTCATGATGAGAGGATTTTTCGAGTGGATGGTAGATCAAGCCTTTCGGATGGATTTTCTTGAAAAAGTTTGTAAAATTCTGTATGTGCGTGTTCGAATGACGTTGATGAAGTGTTGAGTCACTCTGTGAGGGGTTAAGGGATTAAAATTTTGTAGGTTTGATTTATCATAGCCAGTCATTAAAAAATAAACTATAGGTGAAGACAGGAATGAGCCTTACATTCCCAGTACTACTGTTTCACATCCGGACCAGTCAATCCAAAAATTTCCCGTTTAAAAGACGCCATTTTGTCCTGCATGTAAAAATTTGCCTGTATCTATTTACACTGCACTCGAAAATTCATCATTTTAGTACTATTAATGGTTATGTTTGATTTGGATTTTTGGAAACTTTGAAAAATCATAACTTTTTTTCCATTATAGATAGAATGCTGAAATTTTCAGCGATTCCTATCCTAATAGAAGAGAGGACTACAATCCCTGAAAATTTCAGCTCATTTGGACCTATAGTTTTAGAAATAAAATCGTGTTAAGCAATTTGGGGTAAATTGGTAAATTTGTCGATTTCCTGAATGCCTCTTATCATAGATTTTGGCTTCAAATCACAGAATATTTCAGTGTATAAAGTTTCGGGGGCTCGAATGATTATTTAGACACAAAACATTAAAAAAATTTAAATTTAATCATTTTAGTACGTACTTTTGGAAATTATTAAAGACACAGGGTGGTCCAAATGGGAAAAAAGTTTCGCAATCAAAAGCCTATAAATAAACTGTCATCAACTTCTTTAAACTCGGAATAGCAACGGATATACAGGTCAAAAATGCAAATAGTGCGTATGTATTTTGTGATTCAAATTGCCCCATGAACTTCAAGTGGACACCCTGTATATATAGCCACCATACCTGAAATATATCCAAAGTCTGTTTAACTCTATTGTTCTCCAAATCCAGGAAGTTCCATACCATATTGCAGCTATTCCATAGAAAATATGGAAATATTTCCTCATTATTTTTCCCAGGTAACAAATTAACACCAAATAAAACAAAGTCATTTATAATTTTACCAATTTATTTCTATATCATATTATTTTTATTTTGTACAATTTTAGATATTTACCAACATTATTCACATTTTAAAAAAATCACACTGGGGTTTACAACTTACAGCAGAAGGAAAAAAATATAATTTATTTACAAAAAAAATACAAAAGAGTTTAAAATTTCGTTAAAATAGTCCCTAGCTAAAATTGCCACAATAATAGATTGCTACTGAAAAATGGCACGTAAAATTTCAATTACAAATAAACGTATTTATTTATTTATATTTATTTGGAAACCAAATGTTGTCAAAATATAGAAGACACGCTATTATATTATATTAGTCCCCATCGTCATTAATTATCAGGGTTGAATTTATAAATCATGACAAAAACTAAAATAATTTCTATTTAAAATACAAAATTGTTTATTTACAATATTTATATGTATTTATATAATCTTTTTCGCGAATATTTTATTTATTGCAAACACTATAGAAATATTGTCAACATTAATTTGCTTATGTAGGTACAAGAAATTGTGTCCAAGTGTACATTCTACCTAGTTATCTTTAACAATTTGAATCCGCTAAAATATTTATTTTAAAACATAAAACACCATAAAATCACTATCACCTTTTCACAAAAGCCAAAAATCCACCCCACTATATTGTCACAATTTTTAATTTCTACCATTACAACGCTGTTAAATCGTAATCAGGCTTAATCACTGGAGGTGCACCTCCGCCTGGAATACAACTATTCGGTGACGCTAGAGGTGCCAAATGACTCAGAGTTGGATCCATCAATGAATTATGGTGCAGAGAATTGCTCATTGGATGTGCGTGCGAGTGACCAGATATAGTTGTCGGTAGATTATGGGCACTCAGGGACATATCTAACATGTTGTCACCTAAACCATCGATAGGTTCTCTGGAAATTGATTGTAGGAAGATTATTAATGCAATTCAATTTTCCCAGTAGTTAGTATGACTCACCGTGTATTGTTGTTTTTCCTCTTGTCATTGTTGTTTCCCTGCTGTTGAGCGGCGCTATTCTGCGCCTTGCTCCCTCTGCCGCCCTTCGACGCCGATTTGCCGTTGTTCCCCGATGCGGTCGCTCCCGACGCTGTCGTCGTGACGCCCGCAGGGTTCGTTTTCCTCCTGACGTTTTTCGTGTTTGGCAATTTGTTATCTTTCTTCCACTTCATTCGTCTGCAAACAACGGGACGTGTGGATTTGATGCAATTAGCACATTATTTACATGGAGAACAAGGATTTTGGTTTAAAATCATTAATCATAAAACAAATCTGACAAAAGGGTTTTTGGGATTTATAATTATAAGAATTTTTACCTGTTCTGGAACCATATTTTAATCTGTCGCTCGCTGAGAACCAACGCATGGGCGATCTCTATCCGCCTTCTTCTAGTCAGGTAGCGGTTATAGTGGAACTCCTTTTCTAATTCGAGGAGTTGGTGCCGGGTATAGGCCGTTCTTTGGCGTTTGGGTTCCATTCCTGGGGCGAAGGCACCGTTTGCTAAAACAAAAAGAAACCCACATTGGACAATATCGCCAACACCCAAAAGAAAAAAAATTCCTACTGCAACGATGCATAATTGTACAAAGTCAAATGATATCATTATTAAAATATATACAAAAGCTTCACAAACATTGGACAATGTCGGGGGCCTAGGTACTAACAATAAGGTTGCGGTACTGCCGCTTTACTTTTGTTGGTCGACGAAATTGCCGAGTCATACTACCAAGCAAGATTCTTTTGGAGTCTTTTTTTGCCGACCATGTCGCTGCGATGTTCATGGTTGATCGTGGACCCGCTTAAAAATTGGTCTTTTTTTTTCTATACCAGTGCAGTCGATATCAAAGCAATTTCACTTTACAAGGTTTACAAAAACTTAAACAAAACTTTTGTCTAAGCCAAGTCTTGTAGAATGTAAGACGCCTTATTTAATGATTCGTATTGGAAAATATTAAATATCTGAGCAAATCCGCACGAGGCATGAAACAATCAACTCAAAAAAAGTGTTCTGGTTATATATGTTGTCCAAAACTTAAACAATATCATGATGCGATCCTGTGTTCCGCCACTGATATTTGTCGGCATCCTCACTCAATCCCAAACGAAAATTGCTGTTCATCGTCAGCATACCATCAGCCGACAGACTTCAGACATACGGCACGTCCGACAATGAGAATCGTCTTGATTGTTAATTCTGTCTAATTAAATGTTATTCAAATATTTTCCCTGCATGTGTGGCAGGCGGTCGGTTCGCGGTACTCGTCTTTTAATGTCGGATAAGGTGGCGACAAGCTCAACGAGCTTTTGAAGATGACTCGACGAATTTCTAGTTTCAAATGGTTATACATGGTGGAAGAAGCTAGGGAAGAAAGATGCATTGCAAGAATTTTATAATACTTGGAAATGAGAGGAGCAGAAGATGATTAGAACGTCATTTATTTTGGACAATGCAAAAAATAGAAGAAAAGTTATTGAATTTTGCAATTACAACGTTATTGACTGAGATACAAGCTAAAAACTGCTTACAGTATGATGATCACATATTATGAACTGATGGTTGGTTGGTTGGTTGGGATGCAGAGTGAACAGGCCGGGTTAGGTGGCCCCAACACTACAGCCGTCGGCTTATTGTATTGTCCTGTTCGTCTGTTCAGTCAGTGAAAAGTTAAAGTTAGGGGCCTCTTCACCGTGTTACTTTTGGTGAGTTTAGAGATAGGGTCTTCTGGCCCTATCTGTCTGTATCTCCACCAGGGTAAAGCCTCACATTCCAAGAAAATGTGGGTGGCGGTTTCATCCTTTTCGTCTCAAAGTCTGATATGGGTTGTTCTTGGAGGATGCCCATTGTGTGAAGGTGTTTTCTCAAGCTACAGTGTCCAGTTATAAGTCCAGTTATTAGCCTGATTAGTTGTAGGAACTGTTCAGTAAGTTTAGGTGATGGTTGTTGTACCATTAGCCTACTGTGTCTTAGCTTCGGAAAAGTTTGTCAGTAGGTTTTGTGTTGTCTATACACCCATTGGTTTATTTGTGTTCCTACTAATGATTTTGTGATGCCAAGTGCTGGTTCAGAACCAGTATAACTGGTTGCTGATCCTTCTCTTGCCAGAGCATCTGCTTTTTCATTTCCTTCAATTCATTCAAGCCCTGGCACCCATTTAAGGATTACCTTGTTGGCGATGCATAGGTTTTTGAGGTTTCTAAACACTCCCAGACAAGTTTGGATTTTATTTCTGAGCTGTTGAGTGCTTTGATCGATACTTGACTGTCTGAGCAGATAAGGATGTTTTTACCAGTGTATCCCCTTCTTAGGTTGTTTCTCAGACAGGAGTCGATGACATATATTTCTGATTGGCATACAGTAGGGTATGCTCTCAGAGGTTGACTGATGTCGCATCTGGGAGTTTGTCCATATATTCCAGCGCCGGTTCCACTTTTTGCTTTGGAGCCGTCAGTAAACCAGGCAGGTTTCAGCAATAGTCGAGCTTATAGTCCTGTGTTTTAGCATGGATTTGATCCATCTGCATAAGGTATCATTATTCGCATATTCCCCAGCAGCTCTGACTATGGAGTTGAAGGAGGATATAAGTACATAATAAATAATGAAACTTCCGTATTCTCCCAAGAGTTCTATTAATTTACCAGTTTCAGTATACTCCCACCACTCCCTGTTCCAGATCCTTATTCTTTTTAAGGAGTTGTTCACCTGAACCTGTTTGCTTCTTCATACGATCTACTTGATTGGGTTACTAAATTTTCGTGGAATTCACTATCCCAAGTAGGTAACAATTCGGAGTCATTAACAAACGTAATATTAAGGAAGATTTTACAATCTTCCTGAGAACCGAAATCCGACTAAAATGGGAAATAAAATATCGTCGCAGTATGTCTTTGAAATTATCAAGGATAGTTCTCTGGTATTTTATTACTTCTTAGGACATCTTAGCGATTATCGTTGCACGAGGCTAAATGATGGAGGAAGATGATTTTTCATATCTTTCAGCAATCGCAGTAATGCCTTCCCATCAGGGTGATAAAGCTGAAAATAAGAAAGATTCAGGAGATTCAGAAACATCAATTCTTTACTCAACTGAAATACAAGTGTTAAGGGGCGGATACAGGTCTTTTGAAAGGGGGGGGGGGGGTAGTTTAGGTTAAAGTAAACCAGATTGGGTTAGTTTTGGCAGCGCATTGTGCAAGATACGGTTTGTCGAAGGAATGGCCCATAAAAATATGGGTAGGGGGGAACTATTTAGGAGAATAAGGTGCCTACCTTTACAGGTAGATGAAAGGTGTAAATACAAAAGTTGTACAGTTTTGGCTGAATTTTTAGAATCCATGGTCAGAAACAAAAATTGAATGTCAGAAATGTGAAATGTTGCATGCTTTCAGCTTTTTTCAAATGGGATGCGCTATATTTGGTTCTATATTCTTGAAAAGCACAATTTCGCGATTCTAAAAATATATAGTTTGTCTATATTTGGTTGAGGCTCCAACATATTTGATTCTAATAGTTATTTATGATGTAAGTGTTAAAAGTACATTTTTAAGGCACGCATGTGAAAGTTTGCAGAATGAGCGAAGCAAATTCTGCAATTCACATAAGTGCCTTAAAAATACTTTTAACACAAATATCATACAATATTTTTTCTACAAACGGTATTAACCAGTAACAAATTGAATTTTTAGAATGAATAATTGATTGGGAGCATCTTTCCTACATAATATTATTGAATTTGACATTTGTCAAAAAATCCAAACAACCAGCACCTTGTTTTACAGGTAATGAAATGTCTCGTCAGTTTCTTGAAAGTCTGTCGTCGTCAGTAATGCTTTTTGCTAAAAATGCAACAAAATACAGAAGAAAAAGAGGATTGCATCGATCCCTTGAAAAATATAGATGAGGCGGCCAATCAGGCTACCTCATTTGTTCAAATTTCACCATGAATATCAATGTAAATAACTAAAAATACAAACTTTTTTTGACGTTCGCTCTGAAAATTTGATGTTTCATTTTTAACACTAGTGCTATAAAGACTTTATGGCACTAGTGCGATAAAGTAACATTTTTAATGCTACGGGAAGGGGGGGGGGGGGGTGTTAAAAATTGCATTTTTAACACGTTTGTAGAAATTTTTTTTTCAAATACTATCAGAGAAACCAAGTACCTCAAATATTACCTGCAGCTTTCACCTATACAGGTAAAATTGTTCAGAAAATCAGTAGTAGTATTTTTACAATTTTTGGAGCCGAATATATGAGAGACTTTTCAATCAAATATAGACAAACTATATATATTTGGAATTGGGGCATTGTGCTCTTCAAAAATATAGAATGAAATAAATAATAAAAATATCTAGTCGCCAATATACTGTTGAACTGTTTAAATAAAACACTCACCTGAAACGTACGTGTAGTTTTTGAACTAATGAGAAAAATTCACAACTGAGTGAATCAGGTTAGTATTGTATTTGAACAACATATTGGTGAATAATTACGATACTTACCTGACTCACTCAAATGCGAGTTGCCTTACTTGAACAGTTCAACAGTATATTGATGAGTAGATGGCTGCGGAACTTGCTGCGCTCGTCCCGCAGAAGTCCACCCATAAGTTCCGCATTAATACACTTATTTGTACTTAAACAATAACTTATTATATAAAGTCAAAATTTGTAAGATTATGATTATTCACTTTTTGTCAATTTGCCTTTCAACAGGAATTAGTAATGTTACTTTACCGAACTAGGAACATAATGTGACAAGTTATTCAAGTACAAATGAGTGAATTGTTGCGGAACTTATGGGTGGACCTCTGCGGGACGAGCGCAGCAAGTTCCGCAGTCATTTATTCATCAATATGTTGTTTAATTACGATACTAAACTGACTCATTCAAATGTGTGTTATTCTCATTAGTTTAAAAAGTACAGGTTTCAGGTGAATGTCTTACTTGAATAGTTCAACAGTATATTGGTGATTAGATGGCTGGTCCACCCATAAGCTCCGCAACAATTCACTCATGTGTACTTGAAAAATAACTTATTATATAAGGTCAGAATTTGTAAGACTATCCACTTTTTGTCAATTCGCCTTTCAACAGGAATTAGTAATGTTACTTTACCAAACTAGTAATATATTGTGACAAGTTATTCAAGAACAAACGAGTGGATTGTTGCGGAACTTATGGGTGGACCCAGCTATCTATTCACCAATATGTTATTCAAGTAATACAATACTAACCTGACTCACTCAAATGTGAGTTATTCTCATCAGTTTAAAAAGTACACGTTTCAGGTGAATGTCTTACTTGAGCAGTTCAACAGTATATTGGTGAGTAGATGGCTGCGGAACTCGCTGCGCTCGTCCCGCAGAGGTCCACCCATAAGTCCCGCAATAATCGTCTTATTTGTACAGGGTGTTTTTTTTTTATATATTGACACACCACCTACATACAGCCTTTACCTTCACAGTAGAAGAAAGGTGTAAATACAAAAGTTATACAATT